AGAATACAAAGAGTTTTAAACATGTTTATTTTCTCCCAAAACAAGCACCGACAACTCTAAGTTTTCACTGACAGCCCAAGAATTTCCACACACCTTCATTTTCTTTCATTTTTACACCTTAACATATGTGGCTTCAAGTATGATTCTAATTTTGAATTCTCTTTGCTCAGAATTATTATTTTGGGGTAATTAGAAGCTTTAAGATGTATTTAAATTAGATCACAGGTACAGTTCATCCTTCACTCTGCCTTAATGTCACCTATGACTTTCAAATTTGCTCACCTTCTTAAATTAAAATCATAGATGCGACTGCTAAAAGTCGAACTCAAAGATAATATTATCATGGGGTATTTCTAATCATTACAAGAAGCGCACACACACACACATTTCATTTTCTGTAAGATTTTACGGCTAGGTTCATTGATGTGCTGTGCTGTTTTATGCTATTCTGGAGTAGAGCAAAGCAGCCAGAGCATACTGTCTGGTTAAGCTAAATTCACAGTTCCTGTGTTGAATAAGAGCGGTGCCAAGGGGTTGGAAGGCACAGCCCAGTTTCCTTCTGTCTCTTGCTTCTCCCTTACTCTTCTGAACACTCACATTTGTTTCCACCGCCTCCTGCATCCTATGTATTTTGCTCTACAGAAACACATCTCTCCTGTCCTCTGTAAACTCTGTACACACATCTATACGTGTGCGTGTCCAACACAGACCTGAGCCTCTGTCCGCTGCCTCCTTTACTGAGCACATCTGGTATAATGTGGAGCTTATGAAAATAATTATTTGAACATTAGTAGTTGGCCATCGCTTCTATTTTTTCTATAACTGTTGGCAGAAGAAAGTGGATTACATCCTCATAAACTCGAGTATAGAACCATCTTCTTACAAAATAGCCACCATCTTCTACGGCTTTCAAAGAGATTAAAGCAAATTTAACCTGAATAGGTGGAAGTAAGTGATGAAACAAAACTCCCTGGAGGAAAACATACATCAGGCCTTGAAAATAATGAAAAAGAGCTGTGCTTTTTTGCTGTTGTAGGGGAAAGAAGAGATGGCTGTCCTTTA